TAACTACTTGTAAGTACAGTACTGATATGGCTGTGAAAAAGCACTGAAAATGGCACAGGCTGTGCTCAGGAAACACGCCAGTTTAAACACATTCAATTTGCCTTCACTTCTTGTGGAAATTTAATCCCTTAAATTTTAATTCTTAAATTTCTCAATTTGATTTCTTTCTTTTTTATACAGGGTGAAAAAAAGATCAGATTTAACAGGTGCCTTTAAATTAGAACCTCTTTACCTGCAGCATCACCATCAGGAGTCTGGTAATTTTATAATTAAATGAAATTATTATTATTATTTTGTTTGCACACTGATATTTAATGGAATAAAGGATTTAAGATGAAAACTGAAATTCTTAAAACTACCTAAGTTCTTTAGGAGCCTATTTCCATTTTCAAAGTGCCCCAGGGAGTTAAGCTTATTGAAGTGCGAACACATGTCTAGTGAGATTTTAGTTGCTTTAAAAAGCAATTGATGTAAAGCCATTTTATAAAGCTTTATATTAATACTTTTGTATTGGGATTTCCCCAGCTCCAGATTTACCACTGACTCTTTGTAGGAGTGTTGAGAAAATTCTTAATGATCTTACGGTAGTCAGATAAATGTTTTGGGTGCTGTGTATCGAGTCCCTTAACCTGCCTTCCCCAGCATATCTTTCTCCAGGATGATTTCAAGATCTGATTTGTTTTTAGGGTTTCTAAAGTCTGTAACCTTTTTCCTTAGCTATGCATGCAAGCTCTGATTCAAATTTTCAAATACCCATGTCAGAAGCAAACGTTCCCTGAAACCGCAAAGAAGGGGTGAGCTGTATTTGATATCTGTGCTCTATTTTGAATGATAGCTATCTGGGACATTATCCTGTTCCTCTCATGTTCTTACATTGACCGTAGAGAAGGAGGTAAGTGCAGGCTATCTGTCTTGTACCAAATGCTCACGAAAGCTCTACACAAAATGCTCACAAAGAACTTACAAATCTTAGGCCCTGTACAAAGCTCCTTAATGGATTAGTGCTGCTCCTTGCGCATACCTAGCAACTGCAGAGTGGCATTTGCCATCCTGAAGCCTGTTTTTACACATGCGGTTAATAACCGATTAATTGTCAAGAAGGTCACAGCAGTGCAGTGTCAACATGTGGTGCAAGTTCCCGCATAACTCTCAAGAGGATGTTCTTACCATTACTCTTATCTCATATGTCTTCTGGAATTGCTGGTGTTGATATGTGTTCAGAAGTGTATCCTGAGTACTTTTCTCTTCTCTCTGTTATGGCTATGAACTCATTGACATTTAAATTAGTACCACCCAGAATTCCACCATTCACTAAAAAGCCCTAGGAAAAACTGATTCCTGTACCTTAATCCTGAAGTGGCAGAAATTTTGCATTTTATTCCTTTCCTACACTTCCAAGCAATGCAAATGTAGAACAGTGTGACAACAGGAAAATGCAGTAACTCTGGAGCTGAGGTTCACCCTCCAAAGGCTAGACTCGTTAAGAAAAAATATATACTGGTTCTTTGTCATTTTAAATGAAAAATACAAGTTATGGCAAATATACTTACATCACTAGCTTTTACTTAACATACATGAAAAATACATATCTTGAGGAGAAATAATACAACCTTAACTAAAGTGCAAATATGTCCTTGAGACAACTGACAGTGCTGATACAAGAACCTTAGGTTTTCCCCAGGTTAAATAACACCAGAAGAAAATCAAACCTTTCTTAAAACTAGGTGCTTTCAGTGAGGCCACCTAGTTGACCTGAAAACTTTATCTCCCCAGTTGGATAATAAGTTGTTCAGCCTCTGTCTTGCCTTCAGAAGTTGTGACAGTACGTTATGCGATCTGGACATAATGATTCCAAATAGATCAGCTGATTACTAGCAGTCTAGTGATGCTAAATTTTTCTGTGCTCTATTCCCATTTGATATCAATTTCCAAAGAGCTGGACAACACTTTTCAAATGCAAATGCCTCTAGTTAAACTGTTAAATCCAATCCACATTTATGCCTTCAATGAAACCAGTCAAATTTGCAAAGGTGCTAGGCTGTAACAGTCCCTATTGATCCTCGTGTGATTTATGGGATGTCAACACTCCTGGAAATAGGACTTGTCTAATGGAGGGTCTTATTTTCTGAGTATGTCTCAGATCTAGGAATTCCCATCATGGTTTACAAGGCCAATGAAGCAGCATTTTTGAATTCGCTCATCTCTCACTCAAGAATTCAAATGAGCAGAAAAATACATCTATCTGTGAGCAATTACTCTTAATAACCATATGGCAATTATGTGTGCCCCCAAGGGGAAAGTCTTTATTTTGTCATTAATTATAATTTTATGTGATTTGCATCATCACACCAGGAAGATTATACTAGTTTGCCTGGCAACCCAGGATATAGGTCAAATCCTAATGGCAGTGTTAGAAGAATGCAGATTTATACTCTATTGTGAACGCCACATATGCTCCCACAATGCAATTCCTCCTGGTTAAATACAGATGTAAGACTAAGGCTTGTAATCAAGGACTAATCATTGATTGCGTTCTGCTTCACAGCTTGTGAAAGGCGTTGTTGTGGACTATTAGACATAGCCTCTTACAGGAGCGTAGGATTATTTATCTATCACCAGTTGCTTCACTCTCTTTGATACCAGTCTTGCAGCTATCAAACAAAAATGGCTGCTACAATGCAGAAGAATATGAATGTTATCAAATTACCTCATTACCGAGCTGAGACAACCATGTTCGTTTCCTGAAGTCCAGGAACAGCTTAATAATGGTTGGTTTTCGTGGGGGTTTTTTCATCTGGAAAATAACCTAGTAACAGGTTGAAGAACCAAATGACTGTATGTTGCAAGGAGGAAGGACCATGTTTTTTCTTATGTTTTGGCTGCGTAGATGAGAGAACATTGGCACGAGAGCTTGTAACACAGGAAATACAATCTTTTTACCCCCAGAAAATACAAAGGCTGAGAATTACATAAATGACGTAAACTGGTCAATTCAGAAGCTACAGTTCTATATAGTACCTTGCGGTTTATAATTCCAGGAGCACTTAGACAGCACTTTCCCTTAGAATTTAAGTACATACTTTCCTATGAAGCTTATGCTCCACTGCCGAATAATAAAGCAGAATAAGAAAGCTAAGCAGATGCTTCCACATTTTCCTACAGAAGTGCTTTAGGTTTTAGGTCGGTTTAATGTCTGTCACTGGCTTACTTCAAGTAATCCAGCTTTATGTTACAGTTTCCTTTACTGTGAAATCAGTGTAATTACCTCATTCAAAGAAAAGGTAGATGCATCTTGACTCTGTGCGCTCACATAAAAGATAACTAATAATGCTCTCTACTTGCCTCCCTGGACTGCTTTGTGGCTTGGTCAATCTGTGTTTGTAAGGGGCTTTCACTACATCAAATGAAAAGCCACAAAAAAATGCAGAATACTATTCTCCAAACAGGAGGAGGTCAATTCTGAATCAAATTTTCAAGTCACTTATTAGACATGCTGAAGAATTAGCAAGAAGTATATGAATGAGTATAAAAGGTAGTTAGAAGCAGAGAATGAGTGATGAAGTGAGTTTGGGGATTCTGCAAACTGCTTCAAACAAAATTCATAATTGCCATTGTATCTACTACTTTTCCTTACAAGAGGAAAATAAACACAGTATTTAGTCCATCATCTCTACAGGATCTGAAGTATAACAGAAAGGAAAATTGTGTTTCTTCTCCTGAAAACTGTTTTACTTGTTGGTGGTATATTCTGACTAGCTGAGGAATGAAGCTTACTACAAGCACCTTCATTTAGCATGCTGCCAAATATCCTACTAGGTATTTAGTGGTCCTGTTGACACTGATGATGCTGAAGTTTGTAGCAAACATGAAGGATAGCTAAGATACAGCTTTTTCAATAGCATTAGTATGATTGTAGGTTTTGGCTGTTGTGATGAAGCAATGTGAACATTTTTTCTTTAACTTCCAGGCCTTGTAACAGATTATCGGGTAAGTACAGCATCAATGTAATATTTAATACTATTACTTGTATACAGTGGTATTTCCAGGACTTTTATTTTCTATTACTATCATAAACCTCGACACCTTATTTTTCTTTCCAGGAAGGATGCAGCTTGCTAAATTTTTAACATTCCTCAAGCTGAAACTTTAAACTCTATTTTTTTTGAAAAAAGTTGTTTAAAAGCAGAAATCATCTCGCATATATAATATCTCAAGGTTTAGGCAGAGGAAAGCAATGTCCTAATGATTTTTTTTCCCTTAACAGAGTGAATAATACATTTTTCTAAATGCACTTGTGTTTTAACCTTTAACCAATAAAGCACTGTTGTTTTGAAATGGAAAATGTGCCTGTCATTGTAGATGCTAGCCCCACAACTGCAAGCAAGCCAGTGTACATGAGCTTCTAAGATAGTTATTTTTCCAAAGCCTTCAAGGAGAATTCAGGATGCACAAAGAAAATGTGATTTGCCTTATGACCCTTCCATTCTGACATCAATCTCCTTTTCCAATTTTCATTTGAAAATTTTGAGTATTAAACAGTGACACCAGGGCATTAACCAGAAATAAACATTTCTGTTGTCATTTGACCCACCTCTAGCAACTGCCTGTAGGATGTGGCAATGCGGTACACTTCAAAATCATTGCAGAATGTACAATTTCTGCAGTATCACTGGAATGGTGACTTCTAACATGGGTGCCCTCCCTTCTCCCTGGCTTGCAGCACTGGCAAATCCCCCTGGGGAGGAGGTTCCGCTCCCTGAAGCTCTGGTTCGTGCTGAGGATGTACGGGGTCACGGGACTGCAGGAGCACATCCGCAAGGTGACTGGAATTTGCTTTCTTGGGTAACGTGTGGTGGGACGGCAAGGGAAAATGAGCTTGCTACCTATCTACCCTCCATGGCTTCTGTACACAACAGAAAGCACAGACAACAGGTTTTGGGTAGCTGGGTTCAATAGTGGTACTGCTTGTTTGCTCCATGTAGTATCACAATATCATATCACAGCAGGATCGAAACTGTCATCTGTTTTGTGTTAATCTTTAGAGAAGACAAGTCTAGGAATTTGGAATTTCTACAATGTGGGACCATAGTTCCCTCTGAAATTAATTTTTTTTAAATTATTTTTTTAGGGTAAAACATGTTTATTCATGACTTCTTTATTTTATTAATGTGCATGCATTGATAGCATGTTTAGATTATGATTAAGGTTGTTGCGCTGCAGTTATGATACAGTAACTTACTGGGCGTGTCTACCTCTGCTTTTTCTTTGTTTCCTGTTTAAAATCCACCTTTTTCTTAAAAAAGGATGTGTACAATTTACAGATCATTAGCATTGTTATGAAGAAGTACTAAGTTTATTCTTGATGTAAAAAGAAGAATTTTTTAATCACTAAAGAACACACCTGGCACCAGTCTAAATTACATATATACTTCCTCTGTAGCAGTAAAGTCAAATTCAAGCATACCTTTAATCTTTATGACGTTTAGGGAAACTTCTGGTGAGGGGAGTTCCATGACTTGGCTTTAAATATTTACAAAAATATCCATTAGCTAAAAGTCTGGTCTAGTATACCAAACTCTGCAGACACACATTCCTTTCTGTTGTGGTACTAAACAGTTTAATTCCTAAGAAAGGCTTTTTCCGCTGTTGTAAAATTGCAGCATGACTAAGTCTCTTTCGATTTGAAAAGGTTCTGGGATGGAGGGTACCCTCTTTGCTTCTTATTTTTATCACACTATAATTTTCAACTGACTATACAGATATCTGAATTGGATTTTTATCCTTAGTGAGGCTTTCAGAAATAAATTTTGACAACTGTGGCAACCCTGATGTTCTGTCATCCTTGTGGCAATCTGATACATACCCTTCTGATGAAAAATTGACACAAAGTTTGTTATCACTTTACTAGGCTACCATTACGGTTTCTAGTGGGTTTCTCTCTCAGGTTAGATTTCTGGAGACTGCAATTATTTTAATATGATGCCAAGTTTTTAAGTAGGGCTAAATCTCTCACTGGGAAAATAGAGGGTTGGAAACCCCATATTAATTACATGGCCTTTTATCAGGCTGATTTCCACAGGTCAGTATTTACATTCAACAAGTTCC